TCGAGTCGCCAATCTCTGACCCCCTTCTGTTGCCGCAGCTCTGACAGTCTCCCCGTCGCTGTGCGGCGTGGGCTCCCACAAGGTGTCCTTGCGGATCATCGGCGGCTCGGAGGCCAGCGCTAGCGAGTTCCCCTGGCACGTCGGCCTGTACGCCGACGGCCAGTACAACTGCGGAGGGTCGCTGCTGTCCGAAAGAATCGTGGTCACAGGTGAGCCTCACATGCCAAAAGTTACCATATCACCCGCATCTTTTTTTTCCGTTTGTTTAAAAATAAAGATATAATAATTGCAATAATTTCAAAATGTTGCAGCCGCACATTGTGTCTTCGACATTCACAAGCAGAACAGGTTGTACGACCCAAAGCAGCTGCAAGTGACTGTCGGGAACACGTACCGGGACTGGTCCAAGGGCAACACCGAGTCGGTCCAGCGTCGAAACGTAAGTGACATGCGGATGTTGTGCCAACAGCACGAAAACGTCCCAAAACACAATCGCCATCAGTTGGAAATGGGTAATCATTCTGATCTCGAGGTGTGAACGTGGTTTCAGGTGAAGGCGCTGTACCCCCACCCACACTACCGCGGCGCGGCCAAGCGGTACGAGGACGACATCGCCATCCTGGAGCTGGCCACGCCCTTCTCGCTCAGCCCCACAGTGGTGCCCATCTGCATCGACTGGAAGGGCTACGTCGTGCCGGCGCTCGCCACCGGGGACGTAGGGAAGGTATTAATCGTGGGACGGGTTGTTTACTTTTCACGCTTAGAATTTGTTTTTATAATTAAACACAAACAGTATTCGTGTCTGCGCAAATGCATTGCAGATATTTTTCGGAGCGGTTGAAGCTTTCACAGTAGTTGAACCCTTTGTCTTACAGGTTCCAGGGTGGGGTAGAACGAAAAACGAGTTCCCCAGTTCAGCCCTGCAGTCGGCCGACATGCCCTACATCCCCTTCGAGAAGTGCTCCAAGGAGGTGCCGAACGACTTCTTGCAGTACCTGAGCCAGGACAAGTTTTGCGCCGGACACATCAACGGTAAGTATAGAGTATACAGTCGGAAACAGCTAACACGGGGAGCAAACATCGTTGGATTTGGACTCCAAAATGACCAGCCCGATCCTCGTGCAGGGTCCACGGTGTCGCACGGGGACAGCGGCGGCGGCCTGGTGTTCCAACACGACGGCCGCTGGTACCTGCAGGGCATCGTCTCCGTCGGACACCCGAACCTGTTCACGTACAGCGCCTACACCAAGATCTCCAACTTCGTGAGCTGGATCAACGTGGTCGCCAGCTCCATACGAAACAACGGTAAGGGCTCCTCCTCGATCATTTCGAATGAATGCAACAACAAACTGTGTTCCGTGCTCCAGTTCTGACTTTTAACTCAAAACAATCGTGGCTGTGTCTGTTTTCAGGCCCCAACGGTCGTCTCAGTGGCTAAAGGAGAGGCGGACGTCGCCTTGTAGTCACACTGACTATTTTGTTGATTGTGGTTAGGAATTTTAATTTCTCATGAAGGATTTTTTGGAAGAATTTTGAAGATTTTTTAAAAAGAATATGTCTATACATTTTCCTTAAAATGATTCTTTTTCAAACCACTTTGTATACATTTCGGACTTTAAAATTCCTAAGTGAGTCGTCCTGTGCTTCATGACGGTAAAGTACTTCCCTCCTTGTCTGCTGCTGCCTCACACTTCGCACACGGCCGCGCGCGCGCCGTTGACGGCCGCCCTGTCCAGGAACTGGAACTGGTTGAGCACGGTCAGGTCCCAGCGGGTGGGCGCGGTGGTGCTCTCGTACGCGTTGGCCGTGCAGTTCTCGCCGAAGTAGGAGCTGCAGGCGGCCGCCTGGGCGGCCGTGTTGACCATGGCCAGGTAGCCACCGGTGGCGCTCGCGGCCACGGGCTGCCCGGGACAGAGACGAGGGCTTCAGTGAGGTGGAGACCGCGGCGCGAGGAACACGTTATAGGGCTCAAACAACTTGACTACGATAGCCTATCGAAGCATAATACCGATGTATCGAGCGAGCGTGGGCTTACGTTCGAGTAATTGATGAACTTGTTGCCCTCGGCGAGGATGTAGCCGCCGACCTGCGACTGGATGCCGAGGTGGGGGTTGGTGTCCATCTCGTTGCCGACCAAGTGGATCAGGCTTTTCTGGAGGGCGAGAAATTGGACAGGCTCGATTCAGAACATTGCGCGCGCGTATTTCAATAAACAAACCTGCGGCGACCGCCAAAACGATATCGATTGTGCACGTGTACTTTCGATATCATTTCGATACTTTGTTTCGACAGCCGTTTCTGCCTGTGCGACGATAACGCCACTCTCACGAACTGCTGACTGTACCATCACACGTGAAACGATGAAGCCCTCGGTCGCAGTAACTTCAGAACACAAACCGCTCGTAAAAGTACACGTCGCCTATGTGACCCTTGTGCAACGCTGTCACGACTAGACTCTATTCTAAAAAATTGCCTTATAAATGAGAAATGTATGTTTTATTTTGTTAACAACCATTTCATTACAGATTTGTTTTTAACCCCCATTTACCGGTACATGGGGCTGACGAAGAAATCCGTGATGACATGGTTGTGTGAAGCAAAATTATCTTGTTATCGTATTAATCAGGATTTTCTCATTTTTTCGACAATTTTCTATTTTGTGCAGTGTATGTACCGGTATCTACTCACGTCCGAGGAGCTCTCGCCGCCCGCGTGCGGCGTCCTCCCGGACACGTTGACGACGCGGTTGTTGATGAGCGTGACCTCGTCGCGGGTGCCCCAGAAGAGCCACAGCCAGTAGTGGGTGCCGTCGCAGTAGGCCGAGTAGTCCGTGGTGCCGTCGAACAGGCACGAGGACACGGTGATGCCCGTGTTCTCCTGCACGTACGAGACGAGGTGCTGCCGCCCGATGTTCTGCACATCGATACGATATCAGTTTGAAATAGCACGATAGGCCTGGTGTTTGCGCGATACATCGCGCTTCGCTACTTTTTTCGATATTGCAAAATCGCATGCGATATAATCTTATTTCTCTATAATATCGAGACTTGAGGTGGTACTTACCCGGATTGTGCACTTGTGAATCCAAATGTTGGTTGCCTTGTTAAACACGATTGCATCTCCTCCCCAAATGACCTGGAACGTGGAAAAGAACACACATTGGTAGAAAAATGTCACGTTTGGATTTATGATCAAAGTTCAGGTTCCATCAGTAAATAAAAAGAAGAAAAAGAAAACCCATTTGAGTAAATTACACCCCGAAAAGTGTAAGAGTGCGTTAACCTGAGGGTTGATGTCGCTGATGGTGATGTCCCGGATGATGACGTTGCTGGAGCCCGTCAGCCGCAGGCCCTTCCCCTTGATGACTCCGAGCCCGTTCGTGCTCCTCACCGTCTTGTTGGAGGCCACCAGCAGCTCGAGCGTCCTGGACCCCGCCACGGAGTACGTGACCTGCGACCGGGAGGGAGGGACGCGTAGGGCAGGAAGCCCTGGAAAGTTTCCGGAAATTTTCCGAAAAATACCGCAAAAATTTTCGGTCAAACGAAAAATTTTCGAAAAGAAACGAAAATTGTTGGGATTTTTTTCGGAAATTTTCCGAAATTTTCAAACCTAGGGACGCGTCCCCAGGATGAGCGAGCCAACGAGGGAGGTCTCGTCGGTGTTCAATGACGTCAACAATGATGGACGCGTCGTCGGCGTGCTCTGCTCACCGACGTGCTCGTCTTCCCGGAGCACGCGTTGTACAGGGGCAGGGCCTTCTGGCCCGCGTTGCTATCGGCGCACTCGCTGTACCAGCAGCCCGTCGTCGTGTTGTAGCCCTCGGCGTCCGTGAAGTCGTACGTCGTGTTGAGGTTGACGATGAGGGTCTCGCTGCTGGCGAGGTACGCCTTCAGCTCCGCGATGCTCGTCGGGATCACCGTCCTCCCTGCGAGACGATGCCGCTGTCAGCGTTTCGGACCGACCCCGTCGCGAGGGTAGTTACGTCCGAGGGGTACTCCTGGCTGAATTTAAGCGTACACCAATTTTAAGGTTTTTCCTTATTTCCATTGATATTTTCAGATTTTTTTTTCTTGATTTTTTCTGATTTTCTCTTGTTTAA